CTACATGAATTCTGCTTTTCGAACTTCATTTCTGCTGAGACATGCTTAATTGAATGTGCTTTAATAATTGTTTTTGCCTTCCTAGAGTTCGTGACCTTAGTTTTAAAATGAACTCTTAAAAATTCTAATTATCTCAAAATATTTTTATTGGAACTCCTTAATTGGTAACCTGTATTCCCTATTCCCAGCCCCCACTTATTAAGCTAGAGCAATACTTGCCTGTATCTTAACAAGAATTAGACGTTTTGGGAAAGTTTTTGTTTGTCTTTACATGTTGCTCTTACCTCCTTTTTTCCCCCCAAAGGTACTCTTATTATCTTTTCCCTGGTCTTTCCATATCAGACGTTTAAAAAAAAATCACAAGGAGACATTCCTGTCAAGAAGTACTGCCAAAAAATGTATCATTGACCTTGGATCAGAACTTGAATCTTAGCCAATTCAGTTGATTTCACTGCAGTGTTATAAGCGTGCTAGCCATTGGCAAATGAGTAGGCAGCAGAACTCTGTGAAACCTTGAAACTGAAAGAAAATACATCCTTTATCTAAATTAAAAGTAATTATTTTAAGTTAATTTGGACAAACAGCAGATGTTTTACATTTTTTTAAAATCAAAACAAAGCAGCTTTTGGAAGCAAGTGCAAGGAAGAGGCAGACACATATCAGCAATACTTGCTAAATCCTTGAGTTTTGCTTCATTACAGCTGTAAATAAGATAGTTAATTGCATGGAGGCTTGACGACTTGCAGATGGGCTAACTGTGGAAGAGCCGATGTCAAGCTCTGAAATCTCTTCCACCTGGAATTTCTTAGCTTGTCGGGTAGGGTTATGCACCAGATTGGAGCAGGAAACCAACCAAGATGTTTAAGTACCCAGAAGGAAAACAAATGCTCCAGAAACCCCAACAGTTTTCCTATATCTTATATTTGTTTTGTCTTTGTTTAAAACAAATCATGACACAATAGAATGTTTCTCCAACTGCTAATAGTTACTTGTCCAGATTTATACTCTTATTGAAGTCTTCTTTTCCCAAATATATTTCAATTCTTTTCCAGCACAGAAATTTTCGATTTGCCAATCTGGTGATAAATGAGATTGCTTTATTGTTCTGTAGTACAATCCTTTTAAATTTTATATTTTGCTGCCTAAAATTCAGTTGGTGCAGTAACAGCAAACTAATGTCATATAAGGGCTCTTGCTTTATCTTCAAGTTTGGAATGAATGAGTGCAAATTAAAATTTTTGATCAGTGTCTCTAGAAGAATGTTTATTTTGGGTAACATGATTTCTCTGATATTTTCGGAGGGGAAGTGGCCGTATCCGTAAAGCCTGTCTTGCATGGAATGTAAAATAGTGAGTTTATGGTTTTCCTTTTGACTTTGTACTCCATTGCGATGATAACCAAAGAGTATATGCCACGTACTTCTAAAGGAGGTCTTAAGCTATAAGTAGTGGATAAAGCAGAGTTCAAAACTCACCTCCAAAAGTATTATGCACCAAGAAAAGAAATGAAACTTTTAAGCATAAAATACTTTCTGGTAATAACCTTTTCTGTACTTGTTTGTCCTGGCTTCTGTAGGGAATTGATATGGAGCCCAGCCTGTATCGTTGCAGTAATGTTGATTGTAAGGCTTCACCACTCACCTTTATGGTACAGCTGAGCAACAAATTGATCGTGGACATTAGACATTGCATCAAAAAGTACTATGATGTAAGTATCTGTAAGAAGACTTTACACATTCAGTTTACTGAAGTATAATAATTGTTTTATAGTTTTTGATGTAAGCGGAAAACATTTGGGGACAATTCATAGTAAAATATTATTAATAAAATGTTACAGACTGTAATTTCACATTTACATTTACTTGTGTGTTTGTGTGTGGGGGGGGTGATGTTAGTGCAGGGTGGTGCTTGTATGGTGTTTAGATGACAACTTGAGGGAGTTGGTTCTCTCTTTCCATCAAGTTGATCCCAGGGGACCAGACGCAGGTAGGTAGGTCATCAGGCTTTGGTGACAAGGCCTTAACCAAGCCATGTCACCTGCTCAACGTATGAAATTTTAGTCTAGTAATGTGACAGCAAGCTCTTTCATTACTGAAGACTATTTTAAAGATTGAAAGTTGGGTTTTAAGAAAAGTGAAAATGTATTCAGAAATTTTATTTTCATTTATTATTGCCTAAATAACTAAATTAAATGGTCACTCAAATCTTTGGCTAGAATAGGAAAAACACCAATGTTGCCTATCTCCAGTAAGTAGAGTCATGATATTATGGGTAATGATTTTACTAGGTTGACCACTACCCAGTATTTTGTGTTCACATGACAATCTAAGCCAATCTCTTGGTTAGTTTTCTGAAGAAATGGAAAGGAACATCTTTTAAATTGAAGTGCAACTTGAGAATTCAAAGAGAATATCTCATTTTTTTAATATATGTACAGTAAAAATCCCAGAAGACTAAGTAAGCTTTCTTTGCTTTTATTCTGAGTTTTGGTTTGTTTTCTTAACACATTTCTGATGAATGTGTTTTTTTCTCCTTAAAAATTAAATTTTAAAAAGACTGTACATTTCTCATTTTTCTTAGTGTGTCATATCACTTATCATATCAATAAATTTTCTGTCAATAAAAAATTATCTTTTTAAAAAGCTGTTTTGAGCTATACAGAGAAACTCTGTTTTGAAAATGAAAAATAAAAACAATAAAAAAGGCTGTGTTGACAAGACATTTAAAAAAATGTTCAGGTATTATTAAGTAAGACCCATGACTTCCTACTTGTTTATTAAAATGTAACATTGCCTTTACTTCTTTGAAACACATGTGAAGTAATTTGAAACATGTTTCACATAATAAGAAATATAACTCATTATATAAAAATGGATATTAGTTCATTAAGATGAAGAATGAGAACACAGAGTCACATTGTGATTTGGCATAGAATAGTTTGTATTTATATTTTTAAAAAGTAGGTTTGCCTTGAAGTTTTTTTTTTTTTTAAATAATAATTATGACTACACTTTGGGAAACTCTGCAAAGTTTAGTGAATAATGCTGTGCTGCACTTAATAAAGAACTGGATGGGAATAAAGGTTATCTGTGGGGTCACATTCTACAGTACATGAAACATTCATCTTATGAAATGTTAGACTTTTATTTAGCATGAAGAACCCAAATCAAAACTATTCAGCTTCTCATTTACAGGCCTCATTGAGCAAAGTATGATTCTTTACTCTTGGGAAGAATCCTAGCTTTTCCCTCTGTGTTTAGTCTATCAAAAGCTTCACCATGGAAATGTTAATACTAAAACAATGAATCTAGTTCCTTCTGTAAGAAGGAGCTATCTGTTTTGACTAAGTTGAGAATAGGAAGAAAAATGATCCATATAATTAGAATGTGCCCAAACTCAAAGATGAATTTGTAATCTAATTGTGTGTGTGTGTGTGTGTGTGTGTGTGTGTGTGTGTGTGTGTGTGTGTGTGTCTGTGTCTGTGTGTTAAGGTCCATAGTTACAAAAGCATTTTTAAGTTATATAATCTACTTTTAGAAACCAGGTATTTATAAAATAATGCTTTTAGAGCACTTGCTTTGTCTTGTCCACCAGCTATCTCTGTAACATGTAAGTGAAAGTTTATCTGCATTTAACTGCCCACTTGACTGTCTTTTCTAAGATATTCATGATCAAATTAGTCAAGGGTTACTCTTGTGATTAAGGGGATTGATAGAACTGTTGGTCCTCAAACTTAGAAACTTTCCTACTTTCTGATCCTAATCATAAGTGACTGGATGGGAGAAAAATAACGCCATTATTTATTTCATGGTCTCATGCTGAGGTTGTATATAAACAGTGTATCTTAAAAGTCAGTGAGAGACAGTTCTTTTTTCTGTTGTCTCTAGATGCAATGCCCCTTTTGCCAGCAGAGGGGCATGATGTTAAGTTTCTTTGTGCCTCTGTTAGTTCAGTGTGATGTATGATAATTAATGGCAATCAAACTAAAGACTGATGTAGCAAGCACATTAGAAAGGGTATTGAGAATAGTACTGAGATTAAGTGACTTTTCTTTGAAGCAGGTTACCAAAATGGCTTCTTCATATTTTGTAATATTAAAAAAATACTCACTGAACAGAAACAATTGTTTGTGGACCTTAGTTAAGAGTGTCATATTTATTTTAGTCTTAAAGTTACAGCAAAGGAATTCAATGTACACCAAGAAAAGAGATGTACACTTAGGAAGAACTTGGAGAAATTTGGTGGAATATGGCATTTAACCAAACCTGTAACCTGCAAAGGAACGTAGTTATAGATTATTATGAAATTAGGTTGCCAAGAAAAGAAATTAAAATCACAAAGTATACTTCTAAATCACTTGCCTTTTGGAAAAATGCATCATATGCTGTTATCTTCTGTCATGAATAAATAGTCCTGACTGGATGAATAAATGTGGTGTAATGTTTTTGCAAATATATATATCAGAATCAATCGATCTACATCACATCATATTCCCAACCCTTTCCATACAGTGTATCCTTGGAATTCTCATTTCCATTAACATACAAATTTCCACATGCATGGAAATGTACCAGACACTGAACAAGTGCACTTTTTTAGTAATATATTGATTTACTTAGAAATACAACTTTGTATTTTACTCCAAGGTTTGATGAAGTGTTGAAAAACTGACACAGCACAAAAACACTTTAATTCAAAATTGATTTCATGTTTTGAGGGTTGTTTGTTACTCTGTTAATACTGAACTGGTATTTCTTTTTAATCATAAGAAAGCAGATTAATCTCTAAGCTTTTAAGGATGGTTTTTAAGATTCAAGTTTAGAATGAAAAATTGATACATGACCCCCCCCCCTAAATTCTGTCCCCAGGAGCTAGCAAACACACACACACACACACACACA